ACTTAGCCCTGATAAGCATGATGCTTACAGGGACTCTAGTTTGCGAACCAAGTGAACAATTGATGATGTAAAAGGGCAGGTGAAGAAAAAACAATGTTATTTCTCGAATATGCACTGTAATCTATTTACGCTAACTTAGCCCTGTTAGCATGAAGCTAAAAGGGACACTTGTTAGCGAACCAAATTATCAAATGATAATGTAAAGGTAGAGGCAAAAAAGCAACGGTGTTGTTTCTCCAACATCCAGAGTAATTTCTTTACATTAAAATAGCCCTGATAAGCATGATACTAAAAGAGATTCTTGTTAGCGAACTAAGTAATCAATTAATAACGTAAAAAGGCAGGTGAAGAAACAACAATATTCTATCTCGAAAATGCACTGTATACTATTTACGCCAACTTAGCCCTGATAAGCATGATGCTTACAGGGACTCTATTTTGCAAACCAAGTGAACAATCGATAATGTAAAAGGGCAGGTGAAGAAAAAACAACGTTATTTCTCGAATATGCACTGTAAACTACTTACGCTAACTTAGCCCTGATAAGCATGGTGCTTACAGGGACTCTAGTTTGCGAACCAAGTGAACAATCGATAAAGTAAAAGGGCAGGTGAAGAAAAAACAATGTTATTTCTCGAATATGCACTGTAATCTATATACGCTAATTTAGCCCTGTTAGCATGAAGCTAAAACGGACTCTTGTTAGTGTACCAAAATATCAAATGATAAAGTAAAGGTAGAGGCAAAGAAGCAACGGTGTTGTTTCTCGAACATCCAGTGTAATTTCTTTACGTTAAAATAGCCCTGATAAGCATGATACTAAAAGAGATTCTTGTTAGCGAACTAAGTAATCAATTAATAACATAAAAAGGTAGGTAAAGAAACAACAATATTCTTTCTCGACATTGCACTGTATACTATTTACGCCAACTTACCCCTGATAAGCACGATGCTAAAAGGGACTCTAGTTAGCGATCTAAGTATTCCATTGATAACGTAAGAGGGCAGGTGAAGAAACAACAGTGGTAATTCTCGAACATGCACTGTATACTACTTTCGCCAACTTAGCCCTGGTAAGCATGATGCTTACCGGGACTCTAGCTAGCGAACAAAGTGAACAATCGATAATGTAAAAAGGCAGGTGAAGAAAAAACAATGTTATTTCTCGAATATGCACTGTATACTATTTACGCCAACTTAGCCCTGATAAGCATGATGCTAAATGGGACACTAGTTAGCGAACTAAGTAATCAATCGATAACGTAAGAGGGCAGGTGAAGAAACAACAGTGTTAATTCTCGAACATGCACTGTATACTACTTTCGCCAACTTAGCCCTGGTAAGCATGATGCTTACCGGGACTCTAGCTAGCGAACAAAGTGAACAATCGATAATGTAAAAAGGCAGGTGAAGAAAAAACAATGTTATTTCTCGAATATGCACTGTATACTATTTACGCCAACTTACCCCTGATAAGCACGATGCTAAAAGGGACTCTAGTTAGCGATCTAAGTATTCCATTGATAACGTAATAGGGCAGGTGAAGAAACAACAGTGTTAATTCTCGAACATGCACTGTATACTACTTTCGCCAACTTAGCCCTGGTAAGCATGATGCTTACCGGGACTCTAGCTAGCGAACAAAGTGAACAATCGATAATGTAAAAAGGCAGGTGAAGAAAAAACAATGTTATTTCTCGAATATGCACTGTAATCTATTTACGCTAACTTAGCCCTGTTAGCATGAAGCTAAAAGGGACACTTGTTAGCGAACCAAATTATCAAATGATAATGTAAAGGTAGAGGCAAAAAAGCAACGGTGTTGTTTCTCCAACATCCAGAGTAATTTCTTTACATTAAAATAGCCCTGATAAGCATGATACTAAAAGAGATTCTTGTTAGCGAACTAAGTAATCAATTAATAACGTAAAAAGGCAGGTGAAGAAACAACAATATTCTATCTCGAAAATGCACTGTATACTATTTACGCCAACTTAGCCCTGATAAGCATGATGCTTACAGGGACTCTATTTTGCAAACCAAGTGAACAATCGATAATGTAAAAGGGCAGGTGAAGAAAAAACAACGTTATTTCTCGAATATGCACTGTAAACTACTTACGCTAACTTAGCCCTGATAAGCATGGTGCTTACAGGGACTCTAGTTTGCGAACCAAGTGAACAATCGATAAAGTAAAAGGGCAGGTGAAGAAAAAACAATGTTATTTCTCGAATATGCACTGTAATCTATATACGCTAATTTAGCCCTGTTAGCATGAAGCTAAAACGGACTCTTGTTAGTGTACCAAAATATCAAATGATAATGTAAAGGTAGAGGCAAAGAAGCAACGGTGTTGTTTCTCGAACATCCAGTGTAATTTCTTTACGTTAAAATAGCCCTGATAAGCATGATACTAAAAGAGATTCTTGTTAGCGAACTAAGTAATCAATTAATAACATAAAAAGGTAGGTAAAGAAACAACAATATTCTTTCTCGACATTGCACTGTATACTATTTACGCCAACTTACCCCTGATAAGCACGATGCTAAAAGGGACTCTAGTTAGCGATCTAAGTATTCCATTGATAACGTAAGAGGGCAGGTGAAGAAACAACAGTGTTAATTCTCGAACATGCACTGTATACTACTTTCGCCAACTTAGCCCTGGTAAGCATGATGCTTACCGGGACTCTAGCTAGCGAACAAAGTGAACAATCGATAATGTAAAAAGGCAGGTGAAGAAAAAACAATGTTATTTCTCGAATATGCACTGTATACTATTTACGCCAACTTAGCCCTGATAAGCATGATGCTAAAAGGGACACTAGTTAGCGAACTAAGTAATCAATCGATAATGTAAAAGGGAAGGTGAAGAGACAATCCAATTTCTCGAATATGCACTGTATTCTATATACCCTAACTTAGCCCTGATAAACAGGAAGCTAAGAGGGACTCTTGCAAGCGAACTGAATTATCAAATGATAATGTAAAGGTAGAGGCAAAGAAGCAACGGTGTTACTTCTCGAATATGCACTGTAGTCTATACACGCTAACTTAGCCCTTATTAATATGAAGCTCAAAGGGACTCTTGTGAGCCAACTAAATTAACAAATGATAATGTAAAGGTAGAAGCAAAGAAGCAACGGTATTGTTTCTCGAACATCCAGTGTAATTTATTTACGTTAAAATAGCCCTGATAAGCATGATACTAAAACGGACTCTCTTTAGCGAACTAAACAATCAATTGATTAAAGCAAAAGGGCAGGTGGAGAAACAACAACATTATTTCTTGAATTTGCATTGTACTCTATATACGCTCACTTAGCCCTGATAAGCAGGAAGCTAAGAGGGACTCTTGCAAGCGAACTAAACTATCAAATGATAATGTAAAGGTAGAGGCAAAGAAGCAACGGTGTTACTTCTCGAATATGCACTGTATTCTATATACGCTAACTTAGCCCTGATTAATATGAAGCTCAAAGGGACTCTTGTGAGCAAACTAAATTATCAAATGATAATGTAAAGGTACAGGCAAAGAAGCAACGGTGTGGTTTCTCGAACATCCAGTGTAATTTAATTACGTTAAAATAGCCCTGATAAGCATGATACTAAAAAGGACTCTTATTAGCGAACTAAGTAATCAATTGATAACGTAGAGGCAGGTGAAGAAACAACAGTATTATTTCTCGAATATGCACTGCATACTATTTACGCCAACTTAGCCCTGATAAGCATGATGCTAAAAAAGACTAGTTAGCGAACTAAGGAATCAATCAATAACGCAAAAGGGCAGGTGAATAAACCACAATGTTATTTCTCGAATATTCACTGTATTCTATATACACTAACTTGACCTTGATAAGCATGATGCTAAAAGGGACTCTAGTTAGCGAACTAAGTAATCAATCGATAAGGCAAACGGGCAGGTGAAGAAATAACAGTGTTATTTCTCGAATATGCAACATACTATTTAAGGTAATTTAGCCCTGATAAGCATGATGCTAAAAGGGACTCTAGTTAGCGAACTAAGTAATCAATCAATAACGCAAAAGGGCAAGTGAAGAAACCACAAGGTTATTTCTCGAATATTCACTGTGTTCTATATACGCTAACTTAGCCCTGATAGGCGTGAAGCTAAAAGGGACTCTTGCTAGCGAACTAAATTATCAGATGATAATATTAAGGTAGAGGCAAAGAAGCAACGGTGTTGTTTCTCGAACATCCAGTGTAATTTATTTACGTTAAAATAGCCCTGATATGCATGCTACTAAAAAGGACTCTTTGGCGAACTAAGTAATCAATTGATGACGCAAAAGGGCAGGTGAAGAAACAACAATATTATTTCTTGAATACGCACTGTATTCTATATGCGCTAACTTAGCCCTGACAAGCGGGAAGCTAAAAGGGACTCTTGCTAGCGAACTAAATTATCAGATGATAATATTAAGGTAGAGGCAAAGAAGCAACGGTGTTGTTTCTCGAACATCCAGTGTAATTTATTTACGTTAAAATAGCCCTGATATGCATGCTACTAAAAAGGACTCTTTGGCGAACTAAGTAATCAATTGATGACGCAAAAGGGCAGGTGAAGAAACAACAATATTATTTCTCGAAAATGCACTGTATTCTACATACACGTAACTTAGCCCTGATAAGCATGAAGCTAAAAGGGACTCTTCTTAGCGAACTAAATCATCAAATGATAATGTGAAGGTAGAGGCAAAGACGCAACGGTGTTGTTTCTCGAACAACCAGTGTAATTTATTTACGTTAAAATAGCCCTGATATGCATGCTACTAAAAAGGACTCTTAGGCCACTAAGTAATCAATTGATAACGCAAAAGGGCAGGTGAAGAAACAACAAAATTACCCTCCGGTATGACAGGTGCAACCCTTTCTTGACTTGCAACCTAATATAGCGATAGATCGAGATAGTCCTAACTTCAAATCTTTGATTTCTCTTTACTATTTTGGATACCAATAAAGCAGTTCTGCAGTACCTGGTATATTTGGACAAGTCCATCGACTGAAGCTAGTGCCAATATAAGTCCTTCCCGTTGGGGTCCAAATTTGACACCAATTACGGAAGCCTGGCAATCGACTATAAGATTGCGTTGCGTCCACACTGTGGCAGTTTCACTGTTGGAATCGGCCGAAGTCTCTTCGAATACGATGGCCTTTCTGTCGAACGAGCATGTTGCAATAACCTATGAGACAAAAACAAAATCATTAGGTTGCTTGGAAAACGATAATGAACTAACAAAAATATCATATTTGTCAAGCAGAAGCTTAAAATGCTATTGAATTTGACCAATAGTAAATTTTGCCCCATAAAAACAAAAAACTGATGAGCACATTTTCTGCCTGACATCGATGAAGTCAGTTTTAACAAAGAGAGCATGTTCGTTTATGCCAAGAACTAATCTATTGTGAAATGGATTATTTGTTCCAAACTTCCGAGAAAGGATAGGCGACCATCTGAAGTTTATTGATACACTCAAAACTGAAAAAGATATTTCACCAGTGACCATTTTTTATTAAGTTCTGCGACTTAGTGTAGGCGACGATTTAATCCACCTCAGAAATCATTCAAGACTGATTTGAGTCAAGTTAATTGATTCAAATGTTAGATTAGCAGGCGCAAAACATGCCGCACTTAACTTATCAGGACGTGCATAACATAGTGTAACTTTGTATGTTTTTGTCTATTTTATTACCAAAAACTACATCAGACTCGTCAAGAGGTAGTCAGATATTTCATTGCTTCGCCCTGATAACAATCATTTAATTTTCGAAACAACAACGTAACATCAAGTTATACCAGATAAGGTATGAAGCAACAAGCTTCAAAAACAAAAGTTCCGAAAATTGCACTTTTCGAACTGTCAGACGCACTGTCAAATACGAAGTGATACCTTTAGCCTCTGAAAAAGCTTTTATTAGATAAATTAGAGTCACCCTATTCAATTTGGAATAATTTCTGAGCCGGTTAAACACACGGCGTCAAAAAAACTGAAATACGAGAATTTATTATTTAGATGTTTCCGGTTCAGAAAGTTTCGGATCCCTAATTTTTTGAAAAATAAGCACAGGTAAAAGATGTTTTATTTTTGAGTTTTTGAGCTCAGGACACTTTTATCCTTCAATTGAATTTTTAAAAAACTTAAATTTCGAATTAAAAATTCGGAAAAAAATTTCAGATACTTTTATAGAAAGTAAGACAAACATAGCTTACTTTCATAGTTGGGACTTTTACTTACATAGTTGGGAAAGTGCAAATAAATTCATCGAAAACGATTTTTTCCAATTTTCGAACTTTCGGGGACATTTTGAAAAATCTACACATTTTCTCAAAAAGCTAACAAGGCTTAAAAAATCTAATTTAATAATTTAAGCGCGATCAAGATATAGGCCTTTATGCACAAACACACGACATTAATCTAACCAAATTTCCCTCGATTCACGGACCAGTTCTCGTTGAGATGTGAAATCAGCTGCATCTATTGCAGCAGGATTGTTTTCAAAACGATATCCCTAACACTTAAGCCATGAGTCCTTGGCTCCTTTGCTGTTAGAAAATTCTGTTCCAATAAAGCTTTTATGCGCAAAATTACTATTGGCATTTGAGATTTTGAGTCAATTAGCAGAGAGGGTACAGTCATAGAAAAGGGAATACAGGGAGTTGTTTACGAGGAACGGTGAATCAGACACAGTAGGATCAGTGTTGTCGTATCGCAGATCAACTCAATTTGATTGCGTTACTTTGCATCGTATTTCCAAATAAATTTTTTGCAGGTCAACAAAATTATTACGGTCACCGGTGATTTCAAATTCAAGCATTGGTCCATTAGGTGAATAGACAGGTCCAATTTTTTGATCGAAAGCGTTTTCAAAAGTAATCAAAAGGGGTTGTTTTTCAAACAAATCCAGAGAGCTATGGGTAGCTTCATTGGTTAACAAATTAGCGATCATTTTTTATGTTTGAGAAAAAATCTGCTCGACTTCTCACTGGTCTGGTTTTTCTTCGAACGGTTGTTTTTCTTTTTCAAGCCCCTACTGACCTTCTTCTTCGTAATCCATTCATTGGTGTCTTTCGACGACGTCTACCACTGCCGAGTTGTTTTCTTGCAGTTTTTGTGACAGTGTTTTTCAATGCTTGCTTAGGAGACTTCTTTTTCATAGCGACATCAATCAGTTCTGGCGCTGCACTCATCAAAAGTTCTCTGCCCAGTTTTTTCGCAGCCGGTAGAATAACCCGTCGTGCAAACTGTATAGCAACACGACCAATACCAGCAGCCAAAGCGCCAAATCCACTGCCGCGTTGTCGGTAGTGTCCAGAGAAATGAGGAAGTGAAGCTTGCTTTGCATAATATTGTTCCATTGGTTTTCAATCAAAGCGCTTGAATTTTAGAGTCAACACAACTTTACCAGTTCCTGCAAAGGGCACTAGTCTTCCAGTTTCTGTGCGCAACTGTACCGATATTGATTTTACAGATGAGGTGAATAATTTTTTGTAGTCTAAATTAGTGAAGTTTTTTCGATGATTAGGTTCAATGCTGCAGGCACTACCGTTTTTGATGCGTCTATTTGAATCAATGACGCGTAATAATGGGGCCTTTGCATCACCAACAGTTTGGTATTGAATAATGTCAATATAGACAAAAATTAGACTTGTCCCACTTGATAAGTCATATGGGAAATGAGATTCGTACAGTTCGTTTCCCTCATAAGATGCATCGAAGGAGGGTATCATTTTGTAACCAATGTGATATTCACCGTTCTCATCACGTTTTGCATTGTAGCCTAACAGACTGGGTATTTGGGGACTTGGGAATGAGATTCCTTCATTTGCGTTCATCCAAATGCTCATGCTATTCGTGATTTCTTGAGGACTTGCATCGAAATGAATTTTGTCTTGGAGTTTTGTTTTTATCTCATTAATCAATTGTTCTAGTGTACTCTCCTGATTTGATAAAAACTTTTTCGCCATAGTAAGGTCTGGAAATTGTATTCCGATTGCCAGTGTTGGATTTACTGGCTACTACTTCGGATGCTCTGAAGTACGTAAATTCCTCATCAGTTACATTGTTTAATTTTGTTGGGAAAATTATTTCTGAGAGAGCAACTCTCCAATCTCCGTCTAAAGCTAATTCTTCTTTACAAAAATTTCTAAAACTGGCCAAAGTGTTGTCTGGCAAATAATCCATTGATGCTGTTGAAATCAAATGTACAGTAAACTCATCACTGCCCATTTTCGTTATAATCAGCTTTGTTTCCAATTAACTAAGTTCTTTTTCATCAAATTTTTCGTTGATTTCTTTATCCGCATCAATGAGACTGTATTTTGGAGGGTTTACAGTAGGAATGGCAACTATTTCAAAAACTTCGTCTGTAAAAATCTGCTTGTAACCTTTTCTGAAAGGCAAGTCAGTTTTCGCTGTTCGCACATAGTCACCAACATAAAATTTTGGTTTCTGTACCAACTTCGATGAACTGTTTGCTATTAATGAAACTAAAGCAGGTACATGTTTTCTTGTGACCTTGTTTGGAGCCAATTTTGTTACTCTATTAACGCGTGAGTTAATCGTTTGAACAAAACTTTGTAATTTGTCAATATAACTGTAAGTCCATTCAAACTCCAAGTACTTGTAGGTAATACTTTTCAGCGATCGAATGTTTCTTTCGGCAAACGCTGATTTTTTTTTCACTGTGAGTATTGTATTTGATGATTTCTCGTTTAATACATAACTTTTCGAACTCTCCTTTAAACTCGGTGCCTTTGTCAACCCAAACTTTTTTTGGTTGTTTTGTTTTGATCATTTTTTTGAAAGCTTCGGTTGTTTCTTTAGCATATTTGGTCTTCAGGAGTTCCACTTGTAAGTAGCGAGAGAGACAATCGACAGCAACTAACAAATATCGTACCCCTCGGTTATATTTAGCCAATTTATCAACATAAGCCAAGTCAAGAGACCAAATTTCGTTGATATCGTTAGCAATCACTTTTAGCCGAGGAAACAATCGAAACAGCCGAGGAAACAACAGCCGATCACTTTTACGAAACAATCCATACTTTGTATGTGATGATTGAGATCTCAGAGAGATTTTAACTTTTTTTGGTGAGAGTTGACTAGCATTTGTTAAATTTTTAACGCTACCAAATGCAGCTGGACCTTTCGTGTAGAGTATTTTGAGTTTCTTTTCTTCACTGATAGTAGGATTTCCATTCTTTTGTTGACGTCGTCGCAAACGATTCGTTACTGCTTTCATAGTTTTTATCATCGTCGTAATCGTTGTCGTTGGTGGTGGGGAAAAATTCTTTTTTCTGGGTTTTTCTTTTGTCGGATTGCTTGGTTCTGGGTTTGAGAGTTGTCGATCGAGTCTTCGAAGAGGAGGGTTTTGATCTCTTCGATTCCTCAGTTGTCGGGTTGTCGTCGGAGACAAAGGAGGAAGAAGTTGAGGGCTTAGCTGCTTCGCTCTTAAGCGAGCGGAGAATCTGTTTGGCATAAGTGTTGGACACTAAACTAGGATCAAGATTCAGTTCTTTCAAAATTTGTGGATAAAATACACCCTCAAGTTTTTTTGTGTTTTGCTGTGTATCGTACAAAAAAGATTCAATTTTAACGAGTGTTGATTTTCCTTGAATTAAAACATATCCATCAACGTCTAAAGTCAAGGATTCAACTTTGAACAACTGCTTTAACACTATGTTTGCCCTTTCCAATTTATTAGCTTCCAATAGCTCTTGAATGGATTCCATAACTTTTCGAAACACTTCAGCGGTTTTTCCAATACTTTTTTCATCGTTTTTTTTTCTATTCTCTTTGAATTTGTCTGCTGCAGAGAATTGTATGATTCAACTTTTTTTCTGCTTTATCATCACCATCAGCACTGAAATTAGTAAGTGCATATAATTTTCTTTTTCGAAGATTTGGTACTACATTACTAGGTGTTAAAGGAATAGGAGATGTTGGGTTTAATGGTGGTGGAGAGTCACGGCTGATATTTCGTTCTCGAAATCGCTGTTTGTAATTGAGTTGAGATGATTTGTCGTTAATTAATAGATTACGAAGGATTTGAGATTGTGGTGCAGTTTTTTCATCTGGAGCATATGTTTTTCGAGGAATTAGGATGAATTCTTCAGCATACATGTCTAAGGTTCTAGTTTTTCAGGTTAATGTAACACGATTCTCCGATTGATTTAACTAGT